GGGGGGGGGGGGGCAAAAGACAGGGAGATCTTGGCAAAAACCTTATGTGCAGTTTTTCGCTATTGGATTGACCAGACAGGGCAACAAAGCTGATAAAACAGGATTAGCAAAATTGCATTGTTGGATGTTATATGCTGTGTGACATGTACTACAGCAAAGGAATTTGGCAGGATTAACCTGCAGAGGATAAAGATGTACCAGACAAGAGGGCTGAATTAATAGACTGCTGTGACCAAAGCAAGGAAATCTATTTGCATGGGATATTAAAGGCAGTAATAACCTTGCGGGGTGGGGTTGCAGTTGATGTCCCCAGTCCTGTGGAGATCCCAAGCCCAAATCCTGCTCGCTGCACGAAAACTCGGTGTGCAAAAACCAGCTTGTTGGCACAGTTTTTCATAACACTTTCCCGTTTCTAAATATATAAAAAAAAAATGCTAATTCCTAGGCAGGATTATCTGCGTTACTGGGTTTTTTTGTGTTGGTGGTTTTTTTTCCCCCAAACTGAGAAGTTTATTTTCCTGCTTATAGGGGATGAGATTCTTCTCCTAATAAACTAGTGTCATCCTCAAGTAAATATTTGGTTTTGTGGTTTTCCTTGGAGCTCCTAGACCCAGTCAGCTGGACGGCATGAGGGAATGCAGTTCCCTAGCTGCTGGTTACTCAGCTGTTTAGGAAATTGTACACTTACATATGCATAACCTAGCTGCGATTGTAAGAAAGCTTTCCAACCACATAGCATTAAAGGACATGAAAGCTGTTGCCAGTAGATAACTGAATAAAATCATACTGAGTAAAAATGGGAGAATACTAACAATTCAGCTCAGATGTACTCTGAGACTACATCAGACTATTTGACTGAGCAGGTAAAGAAGCAGAAAACCAGCCTCCATCTCTGGTATATTAAGGGGAGAGAAGTAGATTAAGTGTTCATTTCTCACTTGTACAACATATAATACTGGTTTTTACTTGAAAATACTTTAAAATTTGTTTCTTTCAGGGAGAAAGCAATGCACATACAGTAGCCTGCTTTTTTTAAGTAGTCTGATATACTTCAGCACAGATTGCATGAAAGGTTTCAGAAGGATTTAAACAACCTTGAGAACGGCTCATATAATTTGTTATTCTTTTCCCACGCACAGTACTAGTGGCAGACTTTAGTGTTCCCAGGGAACAGAGAACATACAAAAAGTATTTGGTGTTACTCTGTGTGTGACACAATGTGCTTCGTCAAGTGTGCTCTGTGCCGCTGCACGTGGTTAAAGATCTGCTCTGGGGAGACGATTCACCTTCATCCAGCATTATCGTGTCAGCACTGAACAGCACCAGCCACAACACAAGTTCAGCTTTCAGGCTTTTCCTCTCAGGGTTGAAAGCTGAATAATAGATACGCATAAAATATAAATACATTGGTTTCTCCAACGTGTTAAAATTCCAGAAACTGCTCTTTAAATAAAAGCTCTGTTAGTACAACATGACTGAGACTTTACAAGTGTGTGTACATGCATGGGTGTCAAGAAATTTAGCTCCATTTCCTACAGTGACTGAATTATGTAACCTGTCTCTCTGGGATATCATCTGTTAGTGCGTATGTTAATCACTCTTCTGCCCAGGGACTAAATGTGACCACATCTCCCTTCTCTGCAGGGGAAAGACGATGCATGAAGTTTCCTTTGGATTAAATTGGGCAGTGGGCATGGATGGGAGAGCACTTCATTCATTGTCAGTGTCAGAAGTTTTGCCGCCACATCTCTAACCCATTTCAGGAGAACTGTTAAAACTCAGCAGTTACTCCCTGGACGTTTGCTAGGCTTCACATCACTTTCTTTTTGTCTGGTTTGCTTAAGGACTCCTGCAGTGGGTCCTATCCCAGGGACAGCCCTGAGCTGATTCACAGAAACTCTGCTTTCTTTTGGGTTTTGGTTGCTGAGTAAAGTTTGTAATACACAGGATGAAGTTTATTATTTCCTTATGTTTCATACGTGCCTAGATGAATTAGCCCAATAAGGAGTTGTTGGTAACACCTTAAGAATGACCTATTTCAAGCAAGTCATTGTACCACCTATGGAGCATTTTGAGAGGAATCACAGAGAAGCCTATGTTCCTTGCCATCTTTTTTTGTCTGCTTGAAAAGCTGCAGGACTGCCTGGACCCATGCCTTCCCCACGGCCCTTCCTGTAGTGCTGCAGCATTACAACACTGAACTTTTGTGCTGCCTGAGAGACACACTGCGTGCAGGCTGTGATGGTCAGCGCGCTCACCAGCATCAGCCCTGCACAGGCGAAGGAGATTTCTTTTTCCCTTGACCAATTCAAATGTCCCAGAATCTGTAACTCCCAGTGTGATTTTAAAAGAAGATCAGCTTTCCTGGTCAGCAGCAGGTTGTGTTCCTCAGCTTCTATGAGATCCTGAGGGATGGGCGCTTCACAGGGGAATCAAAGGCTGCAGACCAGGGCATTCATGGGTCCTGGCAGGACTTCTGTGGGGTGCGTGCACCTTCCTGAATGCCAACACACTGGGCAGCTTCTGGGAACAGACCATGCACACTCTGGTGCCTCACCCACCTTGGAGGAGCGGACAGGGTGCAAGTGTGAGGGTTAATGGTAGTGTCATGCTTGGGAAGCCAGGCGGTCCCTGAGGCACCGCTCTCCTTTTGACAACGTCCTGGGATCTGTGAAAAAGCAGCCTGCTTCTCCCGTGTCTCTGAGGGCTTGGCTGAGTTTCTAGGTTGCTTCCCCTGCCTGCAAGCCTCCATCCCTCTTGAGATGAGTGCAGGAAATGAGTAGCAGGATTGCAGCTGTACGTATTACCGGCATCACACTGCAGGGTACACCTCTGCGAAGCGGTAAATCTTGAGTGCAGAGCCAGTTTGCCACTTTTATTTCTTTTTTTCCCTTGGAGACAGGCACCCTTCATACTTCTGTATTTTAAACAGGCAGGGGTATATAACCTGTGGGATTGATGGATCTAACCCTGTCTATTTGCTTTCCAGAATGCAGCGATGTGGAAGATGGACCCCAGAGGAGGGCAGAGCATGGAGGAGCCCGGCCAGGGGAGCCCGACCAGGGGGCCCCCTCAGGTGCCGTGCAGCAGCTGGTGTTGTGAATCAGGCCGTCACCAGTCGGAGAACGGCTACTTCACAACACCAGGGTCGCACCGCACCACGTTTCAACCGCTGGCCAGAGAGGAGCCGAGGATCCTGCAGGCAGGCAGGGGATGTGGAGCACCTCCTGGCTGCCTCTGCCCAAGCCCAGACCTGCAAAGGTAATCAGGTGCTCAACTCCTATTTAGGCACCAGCCTCCCACTGAAGTCTGAAATAGAAGTTAGGCCCCTAAATATCTCTGTGGGTCTGGCCCCGAGACCCTGCCTTGCTGTGCAGTGCAGAGCAGTGCTGCAGCAGGCACAGGGCAGTGCTGTCAGTGACACAGTCACTGCCTGTTTGCATGCCATGTGAATGTTAAATAACAGGTAACTTTTATTAAGCTGTGGTAAATAGTAAAAAAAAAAAAAAAGCCTCTGCATGCTCCATGTGTAGTTTTCCCTGACAGTCATGTTTGTGGGTCTTGCCTGTGACTTGTCCTAATTCCTTCCCTATCTAGACACCTGATCACATGTTCTCTGTAAAACATTCTGTACATACCAGGAAAGAAGCCAGACTCCTTGGAAATGACACCAAAACAGCCCTAGGTGTGTTGTAATGAATGAAAAAACACTAAAAATAAACAGTGGGGTTGTCCAGAAGTGGTACCAACAGCTGCTGTCCTTAAAATGGAGAAAATGTTTGATTTTGGATTGCTTAAGCAACCCCTCATAAATTAATAGGTGTAGAGGGACAGCAAAGCACACTCAAACGGACCCTGTCTGGAGTGGCCCTGTAACACGTGCCATACGTTTCAGGTCTGAAATGCAGGCTCTTCCCTGCCTCCTCCCTTGTACCACAGTGCCAGTGTGATGTTAGTTTGAGGGCAGCAGCTACAGCAGAGTGCTTTCCACCCAAAACCGGGTCATGTTCATGGAGGTCAGCGCAAAGTTTAAGTCAATCTTCTAAGTCAAACTGAAATGCTGTTCAGTTTCGATCTCTGAAAGCAGCCATCTGCTCTTGGACTCGGGAGGGGGTTTTCTCTGGTGGGTTTTCCCTTCCTCCCACCCCCAAGATGGACTGGCTGTATGCTTTGGCTGGCTGTTCTCTTGTATGACATGAAACACTGGATATGTCTAAAGCAAGGAGTGGAGAAATGCAGAGAACAAACTATCAAGGTAACGTAGAACTGATGAGGGATTTTTTGAAAGTTTTCTTTGTTATCTTAACTCATCTGATTGAAGCTGGCAGTAAAAATTAATGAAATGCCATCCTGGGTGTATGATTGCTGGCAGGAAGTAGACATGGGGGAGGGCCAGGATATACACAATATCAAAAATAGTATGGGACAGCCTGGAATAGCAAACGAGACAAAGGTGGTTACATTAGACCCAGCCTAATCTTTCTGTTCAGCTTGGCTTCCCACAGAAGTAACCCTGAATTCCCTTCACAGCAAAAAGTCCACAACCAACACCATGAACAATGTTAAGAGATGTATGGGAGGCTCACTTGTATATTAGGAGAGGTCAGCCTGTTGATACAGGCTTGCATTGGCTTTTTTCATCGATTAGAGGAAAAAGCAAGACTCCGTTTCTAGTTCAGGGACTATGGCAAGGAGAGTATGAATTTGTCAACCCAACATGCAAGAAGTCTGTTTTATTAAACTTGTTCTCTGCTGACACAAACCCTGTGCTCTGTGTGGTAGTCTCGTTCATTATAACCTTGTTTTAAAGCTTGATACCTTTCATTCCAGGGTTTGTTTCATGGGGTAAAATACACATTTCTTTAGAAACAGGAGGTGACAATGAAATAGCCCCAATAACCCCAGCTTATGCACCAATTTAGATGAGCAGCTGTTCATAGATAGAACTAAACATTGTTTCATCTTCTATTGTGAGCCAGAAACCTCTTTGACCTATTCAGTTTCTGTTGGTAAATACACATAACATTTGAAATAGGTTAATGCTTAATATCCACTGCCGGGTGACCTGATAGACTGTCTCCATACTTCTCCAAGTATGATATGTGGAGACAGGTCATTTTCAGTGCCCTTTGTTAAAGAATTTCTCTGGAACATCACACTTCAGAGATACCTTTCGGGCATTTATTCCCTGTTTCTAACTTGAATCCATCACACTTTATGCTGTTCTAACGTGACTTCCTAGCAAATTAATGGATGCCATAATGTAGTACTGCTACTGAAAATCAAGCACTCATGCTTGTCATTAAGGACCCTGATCGAGTCATCTCATGAGGTAGATCGCAGGCTGAATAGCCGACCATCAGCTTCAGGTGATTGAAGCAATTTCTGTTTGCTCCCTTCAGCAGTTAGAAGTACTTGATGTTAACATGTGCCGCATTGAAAGGTGAATGCACTAAATAAATAGTTTGATACCAGTTAAATTTGTGTGAGTGGTATTCTTAAATAAGCACCTACAGTTCGTGGTCATGTCAACCCCAGTTCTGGCTGCTGAGTTTGAAAAACAGGGGCTCACCAGGTTTCTGGGTAGCCCCCAAAATGGGAGGCCCTTGTAGTCTGTGGGTGTGCCTGGAGAGCTTTCTGGTGCTTTCCAGATCCTTTCTCCTACTTGTGTACTATTATCAAAACTGGTACTTTGCCCCCCCAAAATACCCAATTAGAATTGTTGAAAGGCCTAATTTTATAATCTTAATAAAACACTGTGATCAGCGGTGGGGGAAAAAAAAAAAAAAAGTCTATCAAAGCTGAAATGCTGGGCTGTAATCTCTTGTGAGATTTTTATATTCTTAAAGGGCTGTTATTCCAAAAGTGCTTTTTGTATTTAAGCAAATAATATTTAATTTCACCCTTGAACCCTTTAAAATCTAAATCTGATGGGTTTATTTTCTCAGCGCGCATCCACTTAGTACTACGGCTGTTCTTCAGTTATTTTGAATGGCTGTCTTTGTTTCCTTCCCAGGCTCACCAGCAGTGCACGTAGCACTTCAGAGAGTAGCATCCTTGTAAATTTTGTTCTCTTTCCCTTGCATGCAGAAGCCAAGCTGACAGGCACAGTAGGGCTCAGCATCTCTCACTTTCTGTGTTCGCACGCACGCTGCTTTGTTATCGCGGGGTTCCTCATGAAAAGTGCCATTAACGGATTTCCTTTTTGTCTCTTTAATTAGGCTTCCTTTTTGGCAAACAACTAATATGAAATTAAAATGATATTTCAGGCAGCATTGCAAAGCAAACAGTAGGTGGGACTGAATTTTGGTACCCACAAACCTGAGTCAGGTTTTCTTTCAGTGCTCTAACAGCATCTCAATAGGAGGGAGAAAATACAGAAACAGTCTCCAGGCATCTTAAGTGAGCAGTGAGCAGGAGGTGACGCTAAGAAGGAAGAAAAGGGGCTGTTCACAGCTACCGTTTTAAAAAAAAACAAAGTAGGATTTTTGATAGGAAGGCTGATCAGATTAAATAACCTATGAAACTCCCATCTGTTTATCCTGTGCTTGGTACTTTGAAATAATTTCTGAGGGACTTGTGCTTTATCCAGCACATAGCAAAAATGGCCAGAGGCAAAGAAAGGAGGAAAACTGGAAAAAAGGCAAAATGAACAAAAAGGAGCTGGGAAGGAAAGGGACAGTGTCCCTGCAGCAGACTGAGGCTGTGAGGCTGGTCTGCCTCACCACAGCTGCCCATGGTGCCAGCAGCAGTAAGCAAGGCAACAGCAAAACCACAAGCCAGAGAGCAAGCGCTACTCAGCTGATGGCACTGAGTGGACATTAGCTCGCTGTGGGTGAAGCAGCTGTGAAATGTAGGTCTTGGGCAGCAGAGATGTTGTGCTACCTCAGCAGCTGATTTCCATAGCTCTGCATGCATTGCTGTAAGGTGATGGCTCTGCAGTGCAGCATGCCTGGTGATGCCCAGCTCAGTCACCATGTAGTAATTGACTGATAGCAATCTTTACAGTTCACAAATGCAAGTATATATTTCAGATACATATTTTTAGAAAAATACATATAGTCCGCCCAGTATAGGGCCCAGTCAGGCCTCAAGCATGCACTTGGAAGGGGCCGAAACATCCCCATTGTGCAATGAAGTAGCACCACAAAGAGCATAAAAATTATGAAGGCTAAATAACCATTTCACTCAAAGGTTGATAAGCAACAGAAGAGAGTAAGCAGTCTCTGAAGATCACATAAGCTACTCAGAGCAGTTTTAAAACCCATCTAAGGAGATTCTTCCTGCTTAAAAGCCAAAGCAAGAGACTGCCATGTCGTACTCCTTATGTTTATGTATATGGGAAATTCCAAAAATTATTATGCTTCTTTGACAAACAGTTGCCTCTGACCTTTAACAAGAGTAACTGCATGTGCCTCAATAAATGAGTTTTTACATTGCATTTGATTAGCCCTAGTCCTCCAACCATGCATTAGCAGGAAAGAGCTGCCCACACATGCAAGCTTAATGCATGCAGCTCTTGAATTCAGAGACCATTTTGAAAACGATAGGCAAAACCACCCAGACAGAAGCTCTCTGATGCCCACTTCATGCCAGGAATACTCTGCTTCCAGGGGTACACGGGCACTGTGCTGGGTGCTGGCAGGGAGGCTGGGACCGGGCACCCACCCCCGTGCCATTGCAGCTTCATCACTCCGCTGCTCTGGGCAGAGAGTCTGGGGCAGGTGCTCAGGATGGGCTGGTTTGTTTCTGTGCTGGGACAGCACAAAAAAGCAGAACTGGGAAGAGACCTAAGGCTTGTATTAATACTTTGAGTGTGTGGCACTGCCAAGATTCAGCTAAAGCTTTTGGCAGTTTGGGAAGAAAAGCGCAATTCTAGAGAAAAGCTCTGGCATATGTCAAAAATTCAACATGCAAATACATTGTCCCCCATGGTTATTAAGCTGACTAAACCTGTATTTTAAGTCCTTCCTTTGCATAGGGGTCTCATGCCCTGAACTCTCCACCCTGGTCTCCCTGCCATTTGGGATGTATAGCTCTAGGTAGCACATGTGTCCCTGGGCTCTCCAGGAGAGCCGGCAGCTCCTCCATGTGAATAGCAGCCGTGGACTGAAGCGGCTGCTAACGCTGCAAACTGCATTTTTCATTTCCAAAGTTCTGGCTGAATTTCATCGCCACAGAGACGCCAGATCTGGAGGAGGTCTGAGGAGGCAGCACTTTGTGCTGGTTTTACCTCGCCCTGCTGAGGTCATGTCCACAGGAGGGAGGTAGTGATGGGCACCCACCCAGCTGCTCCCCTCCCCAAAGCCTTCCCTGATGGCCAAGGCAGGGGTAGGTGCCCACCACCCTCAACTGATAAAAGAGCGGGACAGTCTTCTGGAACTGCTCGCCCTGTACGCCCAACAGCCCTATTCCTTGCTGAATGGCAAAAGGTTTTAGCACCAACAACCTACAGGGGTTTTACATGGCTATTTTTTATGATGTAAAAATACTGGTTTCCACAGTAACAGCCACGTGGGCCGGCACTTACCCCAACTCTGGAGATACATTGCAGGAGACTCTCAGAGAATAAAAAGCCCCGCATGGCCCGGGAACTGCTGCACACCAGCAGGGTGTTTCTAGGGGAAGCTCTCTTGCTCTCCATAACCTCTCCCTTCACTAGATTTCAATATATCTAGTTTATTATTTTATTGTTCCACATAAACTTTTGTTGTTGTTCTACCTTAGGGACCTCCAGAGAGACCCGTAACACAACAGCATCTCTCACATCAGCTGCAGTGTGTGCTAAATCTCTGGTGAGAAGCAGCAGCTCTTTTCCTCGAGGAATGGTTTTTGATCTCTTCCCACTTCCAGCTAGTCTCAACCTAAAAGTATTGAATTGCATTCTGATGGCTGTGTTGCTGAAAAAAAGCCCTTCTAGTTTTGTTACTTGAATTAAAAGCATACTGTCTTCAAGCCTTGAATTCCAAATGGCAGTGTCTTTGCTGCCTAATGACAAGGTAAGGGAAGCAGAGCTCGTGACTGCTCCCAACAGCATGTGCCAAGGGAACAGCATCAGTCATCCTGTCATGGGGGAGAAGTGTCTGCTGTCAGGGAAAAGTAACCTAGAAATTCCCCCCCACCCCCCAGGAATGTGATGGTGTGCATGCAGGCAGCTGTCTGCAGTGAGAGGTGGTGCATGTCCTGGAACCCATGCAAGAATAACCCCAGGGCCAGGGCAGCCAAAATGAACTTTCCATGCTCTGGACTGCAACAGGTGGCCCAGTCGTGGGCAGGTTTGGGTGGATTTGGCTTGGTTTAACCCACGTGAAAGGAAAGCCCACCTAGTTGGGGTTGCTTTTTTTTTGCCTTTGTAAACGAAGTAGCTATATTTGTGCTGGGGAAAGGGGAGATGTTAGCCAAAAAGCCTCCCTGTCCCTGCCGGGAGGAGCGAGCAGCTTTCCAGCAACCTAATACCATTAACACAGATGCCTCTGACACTGTGCAGCCAAGCAGCCCACTCAGCCCCTGCCCTTGGCTGCCCGTGTCCCATACACATCACAAAATCAGGCACCTTCACCGGCACTGCAGCATCATTCACAGGAACTGAAGACTTAATCCCTCAAAGCTAAGCCCCAGAAAAATACCAGATTGCAAAATACAGATGTTTCATAGTGACTGAAACACTCAGTGACCAAGAAAACCCTCACACAAGCTTTCTTTTTTAATAAAGCAAACTGCACTGTCTTGTCATGTGAATTAATATCCCTGCAGCATGGCTTTGT